AAAGTAGTAGTAGTAGTAGTAGTAATAATAATAATAATAATGATAATAATGATAATAATAATAATAATAATAGAATATACAAAACACATGATGCACAATGCAATTGCTCACCACCTGTTGACTGAGCCAGCCCCTGAGCAACAATCACTGCCCCCAGCCAACTCCCCCCAGTTTATATACTGAGCATGATGTCATATGGTATGGAATAGCCCTTTGGCCTGTTTGGATCAACTGTCTTGGCTGTGCCCCCTCCCAGTTTCTTCTGTACCTGGCAGAGCATAGGAAGCTGCAAAAGTCCTTGACTAGTGTAAACACTACTTAGCAACAACTAAAACATCAGTGTGCTATCAATATTACTCTCATACTAAATCCAAAACACAGCACTATGTCAGCTACTAGGAAGAAAATTAATTCTATCCCAGCTGAAACAGGACAGTGATGCAGAAACAGTTCCCAAGATGTTTTGTTGACAGCAGTGTGTACATTGAGATCTGTTTCTGTCCTGCTGCCTCGGACTTTTCCTCAACAAATTTTGTAGCCTTTCAGGTAATAAGCAGCCTAATCCTTTATCTTGGAATGATCTTTTCTCATTCCCATAATGCAAGCCTGAAGTTACCCAGTAAAGGCAGGCAACCAAGTAAAAATTTTGTAACCAAGTATAGAATCTGCCTAAAAGGTTGTACTTGAATCTAACATAGTCTTTGATCCATTGCAGGTATTTTAAATAACTGTTCCATCTTTAAAATCAAGCTTTCCAGATAAACAGCACATGATCTATTTTGTCTTGAAAATTTCAGTGGAAGTCCTAAATCTAGGTATTGTAATGTAATTTCCCACATCTACAGCAGCTTTTTGTTACAGTGTATGCACTTGAACTGAATCATCATTACCCAGGAACAAATTCGAACTTAATGTTGTTTGGGAGAACAGCAGGAGTCCAGTCAGTTAGTAGGAGCACAATAGCATACACCAGCTACTCCATTCTAGCTGTAGACATGTTAATTAATATATTTCTTTGACACCCTGATTGATTGAAATAGCACTTAAAGAGTAATTAAAATGTTTATTTCTGTTAGGAATGTCAACCAAGATGTGGAATATAGCAATTACCTATGATGGATTAGAGGAAGATGATGAAGTCTTTGAAGTAGTTCTGAACTCCCCTGTGAATGCTGTTCTTGGCACCCGGACAAAAGCTGTAGTGAAAATTTTGGACTCAAAAGGAGGTATTCTCTTTTGATCTTCATCATTAAGAAGGTGGGACAATCTTGGCTGAGTAGCTACTTATTTTCAACCACAAGTTGTTCCTAACACTCACCTTCAGATCAAAATGCTTAATTTCTTTTTAGAGAAAACAGGCTTGACAGTTGCATACCCTTTATCCTCTCACACAATCATATTCATCCTCTTGGGAAACACAGCATGGAGAAAGCAACAAGTACAAAATGAGAAGGGTGCAAGGAAAGAAACCACTTTTCATAATAACACGAGTTCAGTTCTCATTTATTAAAGTGGGAAAAAATGTTTTTTAGGTCCATTAGCATTTTTTCCAGTTATTGTGTAACAGTTGCTATACACCTATAAAAAAGATTTATTTTCCTCTCAGAAAGAAACCTAACAACTAAACCCAGCTCTTAGAAATACATTTTCTAATGCTTAACAAACACAGTCCACAATGTTACAGCATGTAGCAATGATCATTACACAGTTTAGGCTTTTATGTCTGCATTATTATTGTGTTTTTCAGTGATCAAATGTGGTGTGCCTAAAATCGCACCAAAAAAGAAGCAACTGTAGAAAAATACAAATAACTAGCAAAACAGCTGAGTCCTCTGAAAGCTGAAGAGTGTTTTTTGTTCTGGTGCTTAGTGAAACAATATCTTAAATACCTATGTTGCAATGAATTAGGCTTCATTTTACAAAAAATCCTTTTAAAATTTCAGATCTGTTTTCTCTTTGACATTCATAATGTAAATCATGAGTTAATTGACACAACTAGTTTGTAGGAACAATAGTGTCCTGGATTTCTGTAGAGAAAATTGTCTGGGCATGATGGAAGTACCACCAATATTAGTTAAAGATATCTGTCTATCCATGACCAAAAAACCAGCATTCCAAACCCCAATCTATGCATGAAAACAGGTATTTTCAGCAGATGCTTGGTTGAAATTCTGATCTGTGGGTAGACAGATGCATTACGTATAAAAACATACATATACAGGTAGTAGTCGCACCAAACCCCACAAACGAAGATGAGTGAACAAACAGCAAATCAACCACATCAAGTGAAAGAATCATCTAACTTCTATGGACAAGCTGTTTATGGGCCCATGTCAATGTGACCAGTTATCTGCTCATGCAGTTACGACTGACCATCTGCCATTTTTTATGCTTTCAGGTCAGTGCAGCTATTCCCATTCTTCTGGCCAAAGCAAGCACGACTTCAGGGGGAGAGGCATGCTGTTTCCAGTTTCCCCGGGCTCCTCATCACCTCCCAAGCCTGGCAATGCTCCCTTGGAAGGGATCCCACTGCCTCCTTCCAAAGGGATGAGAGAGCACGGAGAGGACCGGTGGTGGGAACACAGCTTGGCAAATCAGTCAAGAACCAGGCTGAGAGTGACTGGAAATGGCAGAATAGTAAGACACTTCTATAGTGCAGGGATGGACTGATTTGTGAATTCATTGGGATTTGATATCTTCATTTAGTTGTCGTATTTTTGTAGTGATCCTACCTGACCATACAATAACCATAAACTACTTCAGTTTGCTTTGAGTCAGACCTAAGAGTTATTTAAAAATACGGGGTGTGTTTGGTGTGTGTGTGTGTGTGTGTGTTAAAAAAAATCCTGATTTTGAAAATCTGTGTATGCAAGAGACAAGGAAAAACAGTTGGGGGAGGAAACATGCATCAAGCAACTTGAGCAATTATGCAGCTTCTAATCTTGTATAAATTATGGGTCAGCTAGAAGAAAGAAGTCACTGGAGCCAGGCCAAGGTATAGAAGCTGTGCATCTGCTCCTGAAGTTGTAAAGCTGAAAATACCGTCAGCTTAAACAGGGAACAGTTACTTAAAACTTGCCCATTGCTTTTCCTGCTTAAGCTACATTAGTTTAACTAGGTGGTTTAGTAACATTACACTATTGTGATCTTACAAGTTAATGGAATCTGTTTATAAACACACTTGTAATGTGTGATTTTTAATGGCTGTTTTCAGACGTGATCAGTTTCCATTCTGAAAGAGAAAGAACTAACCCCAAGATATCTTCTGCATGATTTGTAACCTAGATCTTGTAGTAAATCCTGAATAAAGTCTTTTTGTTTCTATAATGCATGAATATGCCCATCTCATTCTGCTCTTCTACCTTTTCCAGGTTCATCCTTCATCTGTATTTAAAAATGGAACGGATGTGGTTTTCAAAGTAAGAGTATTATGCATATCGCTCAGACATTTCTGTGATTTCTTTCTGATTGTGTTCTTTGCAGGCTTTATCACTGCTAATAATTCATTATGACTAATACTTTATTTTTCTATGTATCTTTTTCTTTAGTGTCACTTCCCCTTGATTTGCAACAATTTGTATTATAATGCCTTTTTTTTTTTTTTTGGTGGAGTTTAAGAGTTGCTTGTATGTGCTAACACTCTCTTTTCTCTCCTGTTCTGCTTGTGTGTGTGTGATACTGTAAAATGAAGTATCATGGGATGGTATCACTCAAAATAGAGGATGACACCTCATCAGCTAAAGCAAACAAGAAAGCTCAAGTGTCAGTAATTAACCAAGCACAGCCACAGATAAATGTTGTCTCCTCCAAGAACACAGAAATCCCACAAGCTGATAAGACAGAACTGGCATCTGAACCAAGCTCAAGACATCAGGTATGAAACCTTTTGTTTCACAGGCATTTTCACCATCTGTTTTCAGTCATGCTGTTTTCCAAAATGATTTAACACCTCTGAGATCTGCAGCCTAACCCTTCCCACTCCAAAGCTGAGTTTAACCAATACACAGATAAATTAACAACTCAGCCCTTGAAGAGTTTTCATGTCATAAAGTTTTAATATAAGATTTGTTTAATCTGTTTCACATAGCTTGTTTGTTTTGTGTAATTATTTTCCTTCAAATGTTCAAATGACATTTCTCTTTCCAGGACTTTTACTCTTTTCCAAAAGCCTGTACACCAGATTTAAAGGGTCTCTTGCATTATGAAGAAAGCACTCAAACGTTATTTCAGTGTGATGGGATAATATGGAAATTTTGGAATTCCCAAAGCAAGGTAAGAATGTTGCCATGAGCATGCATCTAAATCAGAGCATGGAGTCTATGATGAGTGAGATTCTCAAGCAAAGGACCTTCCTGTAACAACTATTGACTTGTACAGGGAATAAAAGAGTTGTCCAGAGTCAAGTTTACTGTCACTAGAAAAAAAGAATCCCAGAGACATGGTGGGGGCCTGATTCCTGGGGTTGTCTTTCCTCTCTGTCACCCATAGGTGCTCCTGGACGAACCCTGCGAGCCCTGATGTCTTGGTGCTTGTGGGGACGTGGGCAAGAGACAGTCAGTGAATGAAATCTCTGAAAGAATGAGCTGGAGTTAGTAAAATTAGCTCACTTTGGTATTCTGTAAACATACAACCCCTCCACCACATAAGATGTCATGCTGAATTTTATTGCACTGTATTCCCTATAGAGACTGCAGCAGACAATAAATGGTATCCAAACTACTGTGGTCTCTTAAGAGGGTTTTTGGAACTGAAACCTCATGTCACCTTTAAAGCTACTTACTATAAATTGTAGGCTCTGCTAGCAGGCATTTATTTCCTTACGTCTTTAAGCAATGCTGTAGCTTTATTGATACACACCAAAGTTCAATTTAATTCTGGGGAGGCCATATGCAGTACCTCCAGCCTTCAGTGTGAGGATTAGAACACAGACCTAGATCATTGTAAGCAGGAGTGTGTCTTGCCTTTTCCTCTTTTATTTTAGGAGGTAAGCATGAAGAAATGTCCCTCCGGATGGAGTCGTCATGAGGGCAGCTGCTACCTCCTAGTAGTGAATCACAAGGTCACCTGGAACACTGCTGCTCGGGCTTGCAGAGAACAGTAAGAGACTTCTCCAACTGAATGTGTTTGCTGTGCATTGCCGTTGCCCTGAGCTGAATGCTGCTCTCAAGGCAGAGTTCATTCGGATAAGCCCCACTTTGGTTGTGCTGCACAACTCCCCCAAAAATAGAACAAGCCCTGGGATTCAGACCCAGTGAACAATAGAAGTATTATTAGTCTCATAAAGTTTCAGGTGGTGATGCTACCTTATTCACAACATGAATTCCCAAAGCTGTCCATATGCAGTGAGGATGCTTTCCTAATGGGAAAGTTAGTCTGGGAGAAGAGAAATACAGCAAAGACTCAGTCTTTCATCCTCTCTGACCCACCACTTCCTTGGCTCTACCTTCACTTGATATAGCAACAGTGCAACATTGCCACCTCCTGTGTGCCTCACCATATTCTTCTGAAGATGCAGCTCTTCAGATTCTGTAACTACTTGAAAACTTTAATGTTCAATTTAACAGTAAATGTCTGACTTCTAAGGATAAATAAAAGCTAATAAATAATAATAATAGTTGTCCCAAAGTAGGAGACTAATAGAAAATCCACCACTTTTCCTCCTTGGAGGCCTGCTTTGCGATTTTGGTTTTAGGAGTGATAGCTTAGGACTGGAAGAAATGCTAGCCATGGTAACATGGAGCTTGCCCTGGGATCACACATATTCTGTACCTTGTGTTGAATTGTGAGCACCAGGTTGAAGACGAAGGTGAACAATAGGATGGGCTTTAACAGACCTCCCCTTTACTCCACGAAATGAAAACTGAAACAGGGATGAGTTGGAGATGAAAGAAACAGAATATATTCAGTAAGTGGTTGAAGGACATGCAGGAAACATGGACAAGCATGCATAACAAACCCTGATTCATTCTACTCAGTCATGCCAGATTATGTCATCTTGGCAACACAAAAAAGGGAAATCTTAGTTCTAATACCTCCCAGCTGATGGAAGTTACTTTCCTAAAATGTAAATGTTACCTGCTCTTGTGAGCTCACCACAAATTGCACATTGCTAATTGGTTTACTTAAAATTTCAGCTCCTGAAATGGTTTTCTACCACCTGCTTTTATTCTCTTATTTATTCAAAGCAAGATGCAAGTTGTGAATTCCCCCCCCCCGCCCAAAGGCTTCAACATTTAATTGATCCCTTGGGAACACATGCCACTCTTCTGGGAGGTGTTCCCCATTTCCTAAAAAAGTGTGCTCCTGGTGACCCACGTTATTTGTAGGTGGTAACTTCTTGCTGAAGGCTATAGTGTACAATATAGAAGCTAAACTGAATAACAGTAAATTAATGACAATGTTAAACACCTACACAAAAACTCAAGGCATATCGCTGAATCCACAAGCAAATGAATCCTAGGGCAGTGATGATTCAATTAATGTCAGACTACCACAGACTAAGGAAGCTTTATCCTTGTAAATGGAGTACTCCTGGCTTCCATCTGGAACTGATTTACAAAAGTAAGACCCCAGGCACATGCTTAAAAGTGGTACAAGAAGATAGCTTAATAAATTTTATTTTGTGCTTTTGCCCAGCTCCCCACTGGCAATCACCACTGCCACCAATTGTGGTATTTCTGTTATTAATACTTCTACTGTTGACATTTAAATAGCTGATATTTCCAACAAACAAACAAAATCAGCATGGAGGTCAATCCTCAGTTTTTTAAGGAATCATTAACATTAGACATTAAATGAAAATACTAGAACTGACTTTCAATAAATCAGCCAATTTCACTGAAAAATAATAATTTTATTATGACAAAAAATGGCACCATTTTAAACTTCTATTCAATTTTCTTGCTACATGTTTTCTATTATATAGAACACGAAAAAAGCAGAAGCATTTTTAAAGTTGTTTCAGTAACAGTCTCCAACTAACCAACCTCCTGATCTCTTAGAGAAAACACTGTTATCCTGAGACAATGGACTTGAGACCAATCTATTCCATCAAAGCAATGCTATCAATTTGTTGCAGAAGCAATTGCTGTCTGGTTGTAACTACATGTACATGGGCTTATGCAAACCTATTTGGGCTTCTAATGAGCTATGACTTACATTGCATCCATTTGTTGCAGGTGGCCTACCAACCTTTTCTTCAGTTTCCATGTGCAGGGATAGAAGCAGACACAAAAATGTGCTTGACTTGACGCAAGTTGCCGTATGCCACGGTGATAGTGTGGGTGGAAAAAATCTCAGCTAATTGCCATGAAAATCTTGCACCATTTCTAACTCTTCTCCAATACATTGGAGAGAAGTTTGTTTAAGAACTCTTTTCCCTAGCTTTGCTTTGTATGCATGAAGAGGCCCCTGGCAACATGAAGAGAAGCATCTGGGGGATATTACGGCTGAGTGATCCCCCAGCAGCCTGATTTAGCAGCAATTTCGGTGATTTATGTTACAGTTCTTGTTTATCCCATAGGAACATGTCCTCCCCAAGGGTCAGTGCAGCCAGGCTGACTCGTGTGTGAGATGGTTTCACTGCTGCCATTGAAGGGACTCTCCACTGGATAGACAGAACCACAGTTGCGTGTTTTGCTGTGTTAGTCAGATTACACCTTCATCTTCTTGGAGGTGAATGTTTTCTTAAAGCCTAAATATGGTCAGATTTCACATCCTTTTCTGCCAGCTTTGTAAGGCAGGGGCTGTTATTTTGTTCGGTGTTTGTATATTAGCAGCATGTGGCCTCAGTCCTCGGGAATCACAGTGTTGTGGTTTAACCTGGCAGGCAGCTAAACACCACACAGACATTTGCTCACTCCTCCCCCCTTCCCAGTGGGATGGGGGAGAGAATTGGGGAAAAAAAGAGTAAAATTCGTGGGTTGAGATAAAGGCAGTTTAATAGGACAGAAAAGGAAGGGATGATAATAATAATAATATACAAAACAAGTGACGCACAATGCAATTTCTCACCACCCACTGACCAACACTCAACCAGTCCCTGAGCAGCAATCGCTGTCCCCTGGCCAACTCCCCCTAGTTTATATACTGAGCATGATGTCACATGGTATGGAATAGCCCCTTGGCCAGTTTGGATCAACTGTCTTGGCTGTGCCTCCTCCCAGCTTCTTGCGCACCTGGCAGAGCATGGGAAGCTGAAAAGTCCTTGACTAACATAAGCGGTACTGAGCAACAACTAAAACATCAGTGTGTTATCAGCATTATTGTCATACTAAATCCAAAACACAGCACTATGTCAGCTACTAGGAAGAAAATTAACTCTATCCCAGCCAAAACCAGGACACAGAACCAGATCTAAAATACATAAACCAAACACAGAACCACATCTAAAATAATAGCTTAGATCCTTCATGATGGCTCAGTGTTGCCTAGTGCAAAGCAGGATGGACCCTGCTGCCCTCCTCTCCTAATGCGGTGCTAGTTCTGTAAGTGACTGCATCATAAGCAACACTGGACACCTACTTCAAGGCACCAGGATTACTCCCTAGGTGATCAAATGAAAGCCTGGGATAAGCAGAGCCTCTCATTCACTCCCCACCTTCCCTGTCAGTATAGGACATGGATTTACTACAGCAGTTCAACTTAAATGTCTGTGCTGTGGAGACCTTCATAGCTAGTCAAGTGTGCTTTTGCTGAAGTTAAATTTATCACAATGGTACAAAGCTCCTTTAAATGCATTGGATAATTTAATGTAAAATCAGCAAAGTCTTTGTGCTGTTTTGCATATAATACTTCAAGATCAATGGCTCCCCAAAATATTTCTTTAGTTTGGGCAACTGCTCTAAGATGACAGATGCTCTTGACTTGATAGCAAAAATTTTAAAGCACACAGGAATAAGTTCAAATGGACTTGTTTAGCACAGAAACCAGTGATGTGTGGGGTGTGGGTTGTTTGGTTTTTTTTTTTTTTTCCCCAATACGGCATTATGACCTCTTCTCTAGAGTAATTTAAATTAGGAAGTGTTAGATTTACATAACTCCATAAATAACATTATCTTGTCATTTCCTGTGTCTGGCGCTCTGCCTAGAGGTACCATTAGTAATATTATCGTAAGTGGTATGTTCCTTCAGGACTGTTCTCATTTCCCTAC